TTTCAAACAAAATACTTTGTATAACATGAAGATGGCTGTTTAAGCGGTTGTTTTTCTTGATCCCTACCACTGGTAGGGATCAAGAAAAACTGGTAGGCTACCAGCTTCTTTTATTTTTAAACCTCCACGATGTCGAGTTGGTCCCACGTTTGGTCTGGACCTGGGGCACTCACTTAACTTTAAACCAATCTTTCTCCATCTGGTTGCTAAAACAACTGAAACAGACAAAAACTGAACTGTGTGTGAAGACTGGGATGCTCAGTTGTTCTATGAAGGAGCAGTAGATGGTAGTAAAATTACATAAATTATATTTAAAATGTGGAACATTTTCATGAAATTAAATGTAGCTGTACCAGTGTCCAACTTGAGATCAAGTCAAAACCTAAAATGGAGCATTTCAGAATGAGGTTGCTACAGAGTAAAGGGAAAAATAACATTTTACACATTCCTACATGTAAAAAATAAAAAAACAGTCACTAAATGAGCGTATCAGGGGCACTTTAATGCATCAGTGACATTCTAACAAGTCATTGTAAATAATATACATAAAACATACCATAAATCACTCACACCGGCTGTTTTTCAGTTTATTTAAAAAGTACCTTTTGCGTTTGCAGATACGATCATTAAATATAATTTTAAACACATGATTTTTAGTGATTTTCTATTATTATTGTTAATACAAAAAAATCTCACATTAATTTCATGTGTAACAGTGCAACAAAGCAGCCAAAACATTAAAACCACCTCCCTAAAGTTGTTTGGATTATTTATAAACGCAGGAATCTTGTTCTGTTCGGTGATGTTCTGAGATGGTTTTCTGGTTCTGATCATGTCGGTCGTTTGCATCGTGTTGGAAGTGCTGGACTGGAAATGACTGGTTGGATGAGATACCATGAAAATCTAGACCCAAAAGTGAGCAACTGGAAGTCGAGATAGGTGGTCTTAATGTTGTGGCTGGTGACGGAGTTTAATTCAGAGTTGAATTCATTGTATAAATAGTAAACACACAGCAGGCACACACTGTGATGTAAATAGCTTTTCTCTGCTTCCCCCTGGTGGACGGAGGAGCTCAGATGACGAGCAGATGAAGAATAATCAATCTGTGATTTCTTACAGAAATAACTCTAAATAAAAAAATAAAGCGTTAACATGAAAGCACAGTCACATCAAAATTGAGAGAATCCACACATTTTGTCTCTTATCAGAATTCCTGTACGTCAATGATCAGCAAAACAACAAACAAAATTCAGTCTGCTGGTGAACTGTGTCGACGGCGAGTTTCCAACATCATCTTTGGTGGTTTGTTCTTTTGGATTTAATCTTTGCAAAGTCTGGCACATTCAGAATTACCCATCATTCAGAATAAACCTGCTTTAAACATTCAGCTTCAAACTCCAGTTTAAATCTTTCAGCCCTGAATCCCAAACGTCTCAGTCTGACGGGACAACGCGGGACAGTTTCATCTGTTCACGTGTCTAAAATGTTTCATCACAATAACGGATCAGAGTCTGTGAGGCGAGCAATGTAACCATGCAGGATCTAACCCAAACTGCTTGTGAGGAAAATGGAGGTTCTGGATATTTTTCAGAGAAGCTGAGCGACTTTTGATTAGTCTGAATGCTCAAATCTGAGCCTCCAGTGGAGGGAATATCCACGTTCTGAAACAACTCAAACTTTAAAACATCAACGTGGTTAGAGTAAAATGTTTACATTTTTACTTCATGTTACAAACTTGGTGTCAACATGGACCCATACATAGACAGAGGACCAGACGCCTGAAGGTGAAGCCAACAAAGGCAGGCTGCAGTACAAGGTTTAAGCCCCGCCCCTCCATGTAAACAAACGTGACATCTGCATCACTAAAAATAAAAAATACGTCCGATTTTTTTGGGACCTGTAACCCTGTTGTACACAAAACTTCTTCTGGTTTCAAGGACTCTTTAAAAGGCATCTGACTGGGTTCTGTGGTTTAAGAACGCCCTCCACCTCCATCAACATCTGCATGGTTTTTTGAACATGTTATGAACGTTTCTCAGTTTCTGAGTCGTTATTGTGACCTGCAGAGTTATTCGTGAGACCGAGTTTGACCTTCATCTGAGTTAAATGGCTTTTTATTTTACATACATCCTCAGTATTTACTTCTATATTTACAAATCATACGATCCTAAAGCGTCAGACGTGCACAGAAGAATATACTCTAAAAACTTCAAACTGTACCTCAGTCAGAACCACTGGCCTCGATCATATCTGCTCTACAAAAGTTTACATGGTTCTGATCATCCTGCAGACATCAGAGTCCAAACAGAACTACCGGGTTGAAGTGACGGCTGATTTAGCAGCTGATGGACGAGGTCTCGGCGTCTGCACGGAAACAGGGAGAGCGTCGCAGACAACTAGATAAATCAGACTCTCGGGCGGACAAAAGTCCAAACAGAAATCATTTAAAAAACATCAGCAGCAGCGATTTGATCTATTTCAGGCTTAAAACTAAAGCAGGTGAAGAAAAAGATCCCAACAATCGGATATAAAGCTGTACTCTTACAAGAAAACAGTAAATTAAGACGCCTTTTTAAGTTTAACCAGAAACTCACTGTGTTTTACAGAATGACAGAATAGTATTTTTTCTTGTAAAAATACATTTTAAAACAGTTTGACCTGCAGAACTCCACAATTCTTTCACTTAAACAGTTTTAATGGATTTCTGACGGACTTTAATCAAACAAACAGCTTCAGTCTGATAGATCTACTTCTTCGAGTCTGTAAACTTTACGAATCTGTGAATGTACATCTCTCGTCTTCATTTTTACATAAAAAGTGTAACATTTTCATCAAAATATCTCCATATTTCTTACAAAATCAAACAAGAACAAGCCGTTGAAATGAACATTTAAGAAGCCTTCATTGAAAGTCGAGTGCAGCAGCCGGCGTGACGAAGAGGACGGCAGGTCAGTCAGTGTGTGTTTCAGTGTGTGTGTTTGTGTACGTGTTCATGGTTGGAGGTTGAGCAGCAAGCCCGGCAGCATCTTCAGGTCCATCTGCTTCAGCAGCATGAAGGAGTACAGCAGCAGCCACAGCAGAAGCAGCACACACAGCTCACAGTTCTCCCTGCACCTGCAAATTTAAAATATAACACCGACAAACGCACGTCACTCACAGCCTTGCAACCAATAAGCGCTCTGAGTGTGTGATGGGGGCGACTCTCAGCTACCTCCACACGAGATTTGAGCTGAATATCTGTAAGACTGATAAAGTTGTAGACATTTTTGCATGCACTAAGATCAATTAGTGGTTACCGTATTTTTCGGACTATAAGGCGCATTTAAAATCCTTTAATTTTTCTCTAAAATCAACAGTGAGCCTTATAATCAGGTGCACCTTATGCATTAAATCTGGTTGTGCTTACTGACCTCGAACCGATTTTATGTGGTACACGGCGCTCAAAAATCTGTCAAAATGAACTTGTTTCGCTTAATGCGCCTTATGATCCGGTGCACCTTATAGTCCCAAAAAAAAACGGTACTTTCTAAAAGGTTTAATTAAAATCCATCCAGTGGTTCATGAAAAATTTTGCTAACAGATGTACAGAGAGATGATTGTTCACTGCAGTGGAAGACGGGTGATAAAAATTTGGTTTTTATCAAGACGCGGTCCCATTTTCCAATGTTAGCTAGATGACAGATGAACTCTTAGGCCCTGTTTACACGACAACGCTCCAATGAAAACAGACTTTTTTTCCCATTTCTATCAACACATTTACATGAAAATGTTCTAATTACAATCTCTGTTTACACAGCAACAGTAGATGTGGAAAATGTGTCATTTGCTCACCACGCCACTAGTTGGTGCTATAATCTTTGAATTTTGAAACTAAGCGCAAATGCGGAAAAAAAAAAAGTGTTCTACCTGAAAGCCGCTACAACGGTTGAGAACAAAAGATTTCTATGGACAGACGACGAGGTTCAACTGTTGCTTAGGGTGAGTGGAGCTGCATGAGATCCGTCTTCGATGATTTAAGTAAAGAGGTAGAAAATGAGCACTGTGTTGGAGAGCCGTAGTTAGATTTATAACAGTCAAAAGCACAGACAATACTCTGGTATCCACCACCGTCGATAGTTTCTTCTTCGGTGGATTGTAGGAAGCCGTTATGTTTTGCGTCATACTGCGCATGAGCCAGGGAATCCTTGACAGAATAGATCTATTTTTTCTATTTACACGACAACGGACACCGGGACGTTTTTGAACCATTGCACTCTGGAACCCGTTCTCAAATTGTGCCGTTGTCAGAGAAAACATTTGCTATTTTTGTGTAAACAGGGCCTTAGTTCTGAGTTTGAAGGAGCTGGAATATTCAAATACAAAACAGGACCTGTCTTTAAGCCGATACATCCTTGTCACTTATAGCCCGCCGCTAAAAGGTAAAGCGGTTGCAACAATGCTTTAGCCTGTGTGCACATAAGCCTTTCTGTTAGTTATATATCTTGAACCAGAGACAAATGTTAATAAAACTCTAGAAAATAATCATTCATTGTACATCTACAGCTGATTAACTTATGAAGGTCATCTAAACCAAGATGTCCGCCACAGCTAATCAACCTTATAAAACACAGTTGTACAGAGTTTGAGCTCACATTTGGTGTGCTAGTAGCTACAACTGTCATGTCTCAGCCTTAGATTAAAACTCCTGCATGAAAGAGGGCAGGTGATGTGCATTCCTTCGATGATCGCATGATCAGGACTCCAAGATGATCAATAACGGCCTCCAAATGGAACATTTAAACGTGACATTTAACCAGAAGTTGTTCTCACCACGTGTCAGCGTCCTGGTTCTCAGCTGATCTGAGTGCAGCTCTCCGTTTGTCCTGCAGGAGGTAAAAACACACGCACTCTTTATTGTTCAGCAGCAACTGTTGCGTCATCACCCACACCGAGGGGTATCAAACCCACCGAGGAGTCCGAGAGGCGAGAACCCTTCCTGTGACGGAGAACCGGAGGGATGTGGACCTCATGTGGTCTATTGGGACTTCCCGCGTCCGTCCTGAAAGACAGAACCCGCCGAGTTAAACAGAAAATCCTGAAACCTTTCATTAAAAAGTCTTTATTTTGCTGCAGAACGACAGCAGCTTGTTGCTTCGCAGATAATTCACTTTATTTACATAAAGGCGATATTCAGAGGGACTGCTGTTCAAGTCCAAATACATCAGTTAAATCAAATCACATCCTATTTCAGTCCAAACATAATTCAGTTTAGGTGAGCTCTAATCCGGTTTCAGCCCTACATTTCCTCAGCAGCTGGAGTTTTATTCACAAGGATTTACAATTTATTTTGTTCATGTTGAACTACTGAACACTAATGTCCTGCTGTTCTTATTTTCATGTTTTCAGATCATGAAGTTCAACATCATCAACGCTAAGGAAAGATGTTTGATCCATCACTTATGATTCTATTAAGAGGAAAAATCCTCCGGGATTTGACTAGAAATAATGATGCTATGTATTTAAATGAGAATAAACTGGAATTAAAATAAGACTCATGAAGGGAAACTGAACCAGACGTCTGGATGTCCTCAACTGTGCTTAGTCAAAGCCAGAGAAAGACGTCACGAGACTCTGAAACACAGCTGGAACTAAACAATGACATTAAATACCAAAAGTCTAAATAGTATCATTGTTAATGTTAGTTATTTTTGTTGAAGTTCTTTTTTATTGTGTTCCGCTATCAAAAATTAGAAAAAACGTTCAAGATATGGAGGGAATATATCAATAAAAGGAAGTCTTATCTGTGCATGTTCATGTGAAACACGTAGTAAAGTCTTAAATTGAGTTTAAATTGTGTTTAAAAGGACATGCAGTAGTTAAAACAGTGATTCTTAAAATTATATTACAAATTCAAATAAAACATAAGATCTATAGCTACCAGGATGTTTGTCCTAATTGTTAGATAAAACGAATAAACTTCTAAAAAAATTGTTAGTATTGTTTGTTTTACTCATTTTAATGACCTATTAGTAACAACTGAACCCCTTAATTAGTGATAGTACACTAATCCTTGACAAGATGCACATTTTATTTTATTCTAATGTCGAGTTGGCATCACTGCACAGACAGTAATAGTAACTAATGGGATGAAATATAATTAAATATAAAAGTTTTGATGCAAAGATCCCCGAGCATCATTTTAAACATGTTTTCTTCATGAATGAATAATTTCCTGAATGTGTGCGGATTAAATTCTGTTTGGAGGTGAAAACACAAACCGCCTTCAGCTGAAGAACCTTCAACAGAACCAGGATCGAGTTGTGATGGAGGGTGAAAACCTGAAGGGTTAAAACTTTGTTTCCAACCCAGGAACAGGAACTGTGTCCATCTGGGAGTTCACGATGAATAAAAACACATTAATGAGTTTAACCCTTCATGGTCTTTATCCTCCACAGAAAAATGCTCTCAGTACATTTATAGAAATATCTGGGCCGACAGAGAGGATCTGGGTCAGAACGATTCCACTGTTGTCCCTCAGGTCCAGTCTGGTTCTCACAGTACCAGAATAGAGCTAGTACCTCAGAAACTCAGTGTTTCCACCGCCGTCTGCTGGAGCATCAGGGTCATGTGGTCTGATGGCCACCCCACACAGAACACACTGATCCTGGGATGAAGACTGGTCAGCAGGGTTCTGAATGGACTGATTGGTCACCTGATCAGGAAGAGAGGAAGCCTTATTAATGAGGAAGAGGAGTCAAATACAGTACATTAGTTTTTCATTCGGTTCATTAAAATCATGAGAACTGAGGAAAGATACAAACTCCACTCAGATATATTTGAGATCTTTTTTTCTAGAGAAGAACTTCCTGGAGAACAAAGATCATCCAAACTTAATCTCAGAGATCCCACAGAGAATCACATCAATCAGTTTCAGCAGCTACAAACTAAAACCATAAAATAAATCTGATTTTGACTGAGTACATGTAATCGTTTCAGATGATAAATCGAATACACATTCAAAACAACCCCCTGCTGCTTTAATTAAAACTTACCTCCTGGTGCTTTTTTTGCTTTAAATAAGCATAAAATGCATCATCAGAGCAAAGAACAGGTTGAATAGCATATATTTGTCCTGTCTTCGGCTTTAAAAGAATAATCTAGGATCATGGGAACATTTAATTTCTGTTCAGGACTGAAGATGGCGGAGCCTATCCAAGCTGAACCTGGATGAGAGGAGCTCATCTATTTTGATTTGATGGATGGAACAACATTATTAAAAACATGTTAATGACACCATCTGTAGAACTGATGAATATCATCTGAGCTCAGTGGGTTACCATAGAAACAACGAGTGTCCTGTTGAACATGGACTCATTTGAATAGATTTGAATGTGACCCAACAACTAACCAAACTTTCGCCTGATAAATGTAAAGTCAGGTAATATTTTGATAATAAAAAAACACAATAATCTGTTCTGTGTCCAATGTCACTGCCATTCAATGTGGAACAGAGTGATGGACCAATCAGAATCTGTCACTGAGGAAAGACTGGGCCAATCAGAAGTAGTGGACCGACCAATCAATATCATTGGTACATAGTGCTGGGTCAATGAGAATATGACCATACAGGAAAAAAAGTGCTGGGCAACAGAATCTGTAATAAAGTAATGGAGAGGTCTTAAGATGTGTTGGACCAATTGAAATTTGTGGAACAAGGCAACAGACCAATAAGAATCTGAGGAATAAGCGAAGAACCAATTAAAATCTGGCTATGCAGAACAAAGTTTAGGGTCAAACAGAATCTGGAACAAAGTAATAAACCAATCAGAACTGGTGGAACATAGTCCTGGACCAATAAGAAGTAATGGACCAATCAGAATTTGTGGAACAAATGGTCCGGCAAGAATCTGGGACAAAGTTATGGATCAGTCAGAATCTGTCTCTAAGGAACATCCACCACTCATTCAAGCTCATCAAACTCAGTTTAAACTGAATGAGTAAAATATTCTCAGAAAACTAAAAAAATCTTACATTTTTTTCCTCCTCTTCTGCTCTCATGAAGTCCTCTCCCAGCAGCTCAAGCTGTTGGTCCTCTGGTCCATCAGAAGCTGGCGCCGGCTGCAGAGCAGAGACACTTAGAACTGAAGGCCACCGTTGCATCTCAGCATCATGAGGTTCTGGAAGCATGAGGTCTTCCTTGTCAGGGTAGAACAGATCCATGGGTTCCAAGAGTTCACCAACCAGGTCTTCTGTGGGAGAACTTCGGTCCAAATTGGAGTAAAACTGATTTGTGGTTCTGGAGACACCGACTGACTCAGGACATGGCCTTTCTGTCTGACCAGTCAGCTTAGAAGAACCAGAATCCACAATGTTCTGCTGGGTGTCTACTAGATCTAAAATGTTTTCTTGGAAGTCAGTTGAACCCAAAAGGTTCTCCTGGGTGTTTTTTAGATCCACAATGTTTTCCTGGACAGTGATTGGATCTAGAATGTTCTCTTGGGTATATTCTATATCCAAAATATTCTCCTGTGTATTTTCTAGATCCAGAATGTTCTCCTGGATGTTGACTGGATCTATAATATCATTTTGGGTGTATTCTGGATCCCAAATGTCCTCCTGGAAGGTGACTGGATCCCAAATGTTCTCCTGGAAGGTGATTGGATCCCAAATGTTCTCCTGAGTACATTCTGTCCCAGTTTCAGGAAAGGCATCAGTTGGTTTGTCCTGGTGTCCATAAGACAAATCTGTGTTGTCAGGATTTACAAGCTGGTTTTCTGAGTTTGAAGAAGAACCCTGAACTGTGACGTCCCTTTCTTCCTGAGGACCATCTCCAGGACCACGTCCCTCCTGTTTAATCTCATTGTTACCCACAGAGTATGTCCCATCACTGTCTTCAAGTCCATTGTCTAGAAGCACATTTTCTATGTGGCACTCAGCAGAGACTTGGACATTGTCCTCACTTTGATCATGGTTTAGTCCATCTTGACTGTGAGGACTTTGGAGCTCTGAGTTACCTTGCAGACTTTGTTCTCCTGGGTCAGACTCTTCCTCCTGCTCCTCTGGCTCACTGGTGATGGAGATAAGAGGAACGTTCAGACTTATTTCAGATGTTCCCTTATTGTTGGTTGAATCTGTTTCTTCTAAAGCCTCTAAGCTGCTGCTTTCTTCACAGTGTTGGTAAACCTTTAGAAGTTCTTCATTCTGTATTTCTACAGGTATGTCAGTTCTTTCATGTAAACTTTCGGTCTCATTTCTTGAGTCCACTCTTTTGTGTTCTGGAAAATCTGTTTCCTGACTTTCAGCTTTTACTTCGGGGGTAAATCTGAAATCAGTTTTACCATTGATCTTTGTGTCTTGATATTCTTCCTGTTTCTCCAAGGGTCTCTGACCAGAAGTGGTTTCATTATTAGATTGTGTTTCAGTGGAGGGTTCAAACTGGTTCAGATGATCTGCTTCAAGAGGATATTCAACACCAGAGCTCCTTGGTACTTTGGTCTCATACAAAGTATCAGAAGGATTTTGTTTGCTGTGTTTTGTAATGTCTGGTTCTCTCACATGAGGTGTCATATCTGTTATCAAGTCTTGGTTGTGATTCTCCAGGTCTTCCTGGTTCTCCTTCACCTCCTTCTCTTGGATTTTATCTGCCTGCCTGTGGATTCTCTCCTGGTTGCTGTCCATTGAGCTTACCCCTTCATCGATGCATGACTCGGTCATGGACTGTTCATCGGGAGCTCTGTCCTCCATGGATGACATAAACCCTTCATCAACTGGAGTCACGTCCACGGGTGTAGCCCGGTAAACATCCCAGGTATTCCCACTGTCCCACAAAGAACTATCACTGTGACTCTCTGAAAACCTCTCAGGCATTAGCTCATTCTCCACCCAGGAGTCCGGTGAGTTGATAGCAGAGTCACCGATCAGTGACTCAGGCACCGATGAAGGCGAGTGAATGTAGGGCTGATGTGGGGAGTCACAGGCTGGGTCTTTCAGGACATTACTGCTCTGATCTCTGGGGTTTACATTCCCTCTGCTGAAGATGTCTTCTACATGGGACGAGTCTGTCAAAATGTCTTCACTGGACCATGAGCGAGCTGCAGCCACCTTGAGGCATGGAGTTAGGACACTTCGGTCCTCTGACACTGAAGATATCAAAACTTTGGGAGGGGGTTTGGTGGAGCACCTCTCAAATATGCTGGAGCACTGCCTCACCCTGCTGAGATGAGCGCCGTTTCTCAGTTGGTCTAACTCACAGTCACGGAAGTTGAGTCGGCCCATGGAGACGCTCCGTTCAATCAGCTGGCTGCATTCCTCGTTCTGTCAGAGGAACAGACAGGTTAACATTCCTAACAAACTTTCCTGACAAGAGTCTACCATCAGATCTGTATCTACACCTCGTACCTCCTGTATGCCTGGGAAGTGCTCCAGGAACTGAGAAACATACATAATGATGGACTGCTCATCTGGTGTGTTAATAGTCACATCTAAAGAGGTAAAAACAAAAAAAATACAGTCACAAATGCTCTGTTAAAGCTGGTCTTTTACTGTGGACAGTGGAGAAACACAAGGCCTGTCACTTCTTGTTTACTGTACCCAGAAGTCACCTGGTCCTGACCCTCACTTTCACCCGTTTTTGTGGAGGGCCTCTCAGATGATTTAGTGCAGTGGTTCCCAACTCAGGTCCTTGAGGAACACCATCCTGGATATTTTAGTTGGTTTTTTTTTTTTGCTCCAACACACCTGAGTCAGTGATTTAATTACTTCATGTTCTGCAGAAGCCTGTTAATCACCCATTCATTTAAATCAGATGTATCAAAGCAGGGGAAAAAAAACTAAAACATGCAGGATGGTGTTCCTCAAGGACCACAGTTGGGAACCATTGGTTTAGTGTAACAAAGCAACAAGTGGGAAGTCAGGAAAAATGCATTTTCAATAAACCTTCAGTGTTTATTTTTATTTATTTTCATTTTTACTCTTTCAGTAAATAAATACTTGACATTTCTGATAAACCTGAATGAAAAGCAGCTTCTGCATCTAATTGACCTGATCTTATTTTGATCCCAATCTCATGACTCAGTGGTTTCTTTTATGATTGTTAATTTGTGAATCTCATAAAAAAAAAAATTAAAAACTCCTGCTGCTCCAGGAAGTTAAATCCTACTCATTATCTGATAATTAAATCAGGAACAGAATTATATTTCACACAATGTCCTTAACCTACTGGAAGACCTTTCTGATTCAGCTTGTGTTTATTATTCTTTGGCTCTTTTATCACTTCTTATCTTAATATCAGAACCGTGTCATAAGACTGGAATGACGGAGGGAGCCAGCAGGTGAGTCATGGTTTCAGCCATATAAGGGAGTAAACGAGTAAAACCAGAGGTCTTTGTGGTACCTTCAGGCTCCAGCAGCCGAGGAATACCAAGACTGTAGTGGGCTATCCTGAAGGCGTCCTCCAGGTTTTCACTGGGACTTCTCAGCAGGGCCTTCCTCATGTCCACCAGACTGGAGTCAATGGACTTAATGACGGCCAGAAAGGCTAGACCACTAGTCCAGCTTTTCCCAAAGTCTTGCACAGCCACGCCATACCTGCAACACAGCATGATGTCAAAACAGGGCGAGCCTTTTTATCTCTCTGAGGTTTCACATTTCACTCACTTCCGAGTTTTCCTCTGCACCCACTGCAGCAGCTTCTTGATGGCCTTGCTGTTCTCCCTCATGGTGGTGGCTACAGATACTTTCTCATCAGACGGTGTGCTGCTGAAGGACGTGTCAGAGTCGGAGCTGGTGGGAATGGATGACAGGCTGGACATGGAGGGGAACTGGCTCCGGATGTTTCCTGTCAGTTCCTTGATCTGGGAGGAGGGGAAAAACTGATTTATATTCTCCTCCAATCCTGAGCAGATTTGACTCCAGCAGGAAGTGGTTGAAGCATAAAAGTAGTTTCAAAACCCAACAGTGCAATTTCTGGTGAAAAAAAAACTATATGAAAATTCATAAAAACGTTAAATCACCTGGAAGAAGAGGATGATGTTCCAGATGAGACCCAGGATGATGGAGGAGTTCCCATCAGCAATGTCAGCTGCATCAATGCTCACCAGTTTTACCTGAAAATACACAGCCATGTATAAAAAGTTTGTCCCGACAGTTCAAACTTTAATCAGCAGAATAACAGTCGAATGACTAACATTCCTCTCCTCCAGGAAGGACAGGACCTTAGCGATGTTGTTGAGTCTGAAGATACGATGAGAGGACTTCTTGAAGCTGTGGAGCTGTGGGATCATCCAGGAGACAGAAAAAGAGGAAAGTTACACAATGGCTCACAAGAACGAGAGTTTAAACTTGTGAGAACAACAGAGTCTGACCAGTCTGCAGCCTGAGAGCTCCTCCAGCAGAGCCATGAGGATATGTCCATCCTGGATGTCCTGGAACAGGTCCTGGACCTGGAGGGGTGGGTCACACTGTGGAGAGAGGGGGGATACAGGCTTTCAGATCTTCAACACGTACCTAAATGTTTTTGTCCGTGTGCAAAGCTCCAAAGACTAAAATCAGAGAAGAAAGATGGTCTGTGGTGGTGCTTTGTTTACTTTTATATTGTTGCCGTGGAAACAGCAGTTCAGATCCCTAAACTTCTGCAGCTTTTTTGTTTTGTTTTTATTGACCACCAAGGGACTCGTAACTTTTTTTACTTATTACTTTTGAATTTCACATCATGATGCATTCATCGAATGCAAGAACATAAACAAAATAATGATGTTTCTCCTTTGTCTGATGTTTGTATTCTTACCTTTTAATTGGTGGCGTCTCAATGTTCCCCTGCTCCATGCTGACACTGAACGCACCGCTGTATATCAGCATCATAGCGACACTGAGACTGGGTTGGAGTTTTAGACACTAATGTTCAGAAAACAGAGTTCTTGTAGCAACAGTGCACCAAAGTTTCTGGATCTGAATGCTTTAAAGTGTGAACGCTCATGCATGTTGTTAAATGTTAAACTGCAGCAGCTGAATAAAACGTGTCTCTACTGGTCTGAAAGATGACAACATCACAAGAAATAATCCATCAGTCAGTTTATAGGCTGATTATCTAAACCATCCTGCAAACAAAACCAGGCTGATCTGCTCATGGTTAACTGTTGAATCCCGAGAGCTCAGAAACTACCTGATGGAGAAGTGGGTGGAGCTCCTAGTCATGTGACCAGAAGATAAACAATGTGAGGTGATGAAGGCTTCAGATTTATTCGCTACATGGGAGGGAAGTGCTCGAGCCAACTTTTAGTCCTGACGTGAACCTGCCAGGACTGCCAATGTGGGGAGAGCTGAAAGGACTGGAACTTTCCAAGATGACTGAAAACAATGTTTGATTGTCTAATTAGTGGGTCAGAACTCTGACACCGAGCCAGACACAAAAAAAAGGGGGGGGAGAAGAGAGACTCATTGTGTTATAGTAGACAAAAGAGACAATCAGAAATCAAACTGAAGACAAAGAGACGCTGCAGACGATCTTCAGACTCACAAATAAACAACAAACATAACAAAGCACAACATCAGACCTTTATCTGTTACAGACGCAGCAGTGCTCAAACCTGAGGCAGAAATTAATTATTTTCTAATACAAACAAACTAAAACAACAGTTCAGAGGATTTTCACTGTAGTATGTTCTAATGGCCCTATTTGTCCCGTTGGAGCTTGAATACACTCAATATTATGATCAGTGCGAACATTATTGAGTTGAAACCATTAAACCATGAACTAGACCCCCTCCCTAAATGTTCAGATCAGTAGATCGATGTGGGTGGTTCTGATTGGTCGGTTTGTTTGGTTTGCAGCAGCTGAAGACAGTTTGCATAGGCAAAGATTGGACCACAAAACCCAAACGAGATGAAGGTGTCGAGTTACTCGTGAGTCAGCGAGGAGAGATTATAGTGAGCAGTTTGTGACAAGAGCAGAGGAGATCGGGCCTCGGAGACTGAAGGTGCAGGAAGGCTACAAACCTTTTCCAGGTGGAGGTTCATCCATCGGGTGAAGGTCCTCTTCTGCACCCCCTCCCTCTCAACTGAAACACAGAAACAAGTGGAGGATGAGACGCTGCAGGAACCTGGAGAACCCACACCGAAGCTAAAATCCACGACAGAACCCGCAGATCAAAGCAGCAACAAACACAAATAAATTAAATTGTTTATAGATTAATCCAACTTGTGATGATTTCTGATTTTATCTTCCAAACCTGATGAAATGAACTACATCAGTTTACAAACAAAAACATTAGGCTTTTATATAAAAAACAACAAAATCTGGATTTATCTTATTTAATCAGAAACAATAAATGTTTAAAGGAGAGTTAGTCAGAAACCTGTCGGGTTTTAGAAGCTGCAGGTCTGAGAGGATTAACATGTTTCCACACCAGCGAGTCGTCACCTTGAATATCCTGATGTTCCCACTCAGTGGGAGACCACAGCTGAAGCTGCGGCTTAATTTTAGCAGTGAGTGTTAAAGATTCATTCAGAAGCACACGAGATCAGGTTCTGTTCAGATCTCCACTATAGGGTTCTGCTCACCACGTGCTGGTGTGAAGATAAAACCATCAATCTTTCATGCTGGAGGAAATCTTCTGAAGACTCTAAAACTGACCTGTTAAAGCTACATGTAACAATACAGTAGCTAAATGCTAAAATCAGCTGAAGGATAGCAAAATGCTAAAAGTAGCAGAACACTAGCTAAAAGGTAAAAAAAAAAAAAAAAACACCATGATGACTACCAGCTAAAAGAAGCAAATAAAAGCTGTTTAAAAAGAGAATAAGCGAAAACAAATGTAGTTAGAAGAAGCAATATGTTAGCTAAATGCTCAATTTAGCAAAATGCTAAATTAATTAAGCAAAAGGGTAAATAAGCATTAAAGTGGCAAGAGTAACTAAAAGTTAAAGGGAGAAAAATCTGTGTTAAAAGTAGCACAAGGATGAATCAAAGTTAAATGTAGCAAAACACTAGCTAAAAGAAGCCAAATGCTAACTATAATTAGCAAAAGGATAGTTAAAAGTCAAATAAGGCTAAACTAAAAGCTAACTAAAAGCAGAAACATACAGACTAGCAGCAAGCCAAAGGAGTAGTTAAAAGCAAGTAGCAAAATATTAAAAATGTAGAAGGGTCGCTAAACTTAAAGAAGCAAAAGCCAGATAACAGTTAAACGTAGCAAAATGGTACCTAAATCTAAATGTAGCATAGTAGGACAAAAACAGAGCCAGTATTTTGAAGCAGATTTCAAAAAGAACAAGTTTTAGCAGGAATTCAAAATATCTTAATGTCCTCTATTAAGAAAATATTTTTAAATAAAGTTAAATACTTTGAAAATACAAAAGTTACGAAAGACAAAAGTCACACAACTCAGCTTCTGAACGAGCTGAATATTATATATAAAAAGTGTACTCCAGAATCCATCCAGAACCATCAGCTGGTTCTGTTTACGGACTCGGAGCTACAAACCCTGAGGCTGCACAGAGCAGGAAGTGATGGGAGGAGCTCTGATGGTGGTTACCATGGCAGCAGTGTCAGCTGTTACTCATTTCTATGCCCACCCCCCACCCCCCAACCTGAGCTGCCTGAGGTTCTGGAGGCAGAGAATCTGTCAGAGGAGGTGCAGAGGGGAAGGCGGGAGAAGGACAACATGAGGAGGTGACGAAGGAGGGAGACACAGAGCCCTGAGGGCAGATAATAAACACACCAAATGAAATCAGGAGATGTTCATATCTGAGGAGAAGTTTCTGTTCTGATCTGTTAAGACGTGAACAGAACCAGAGAGAGACCCGGCCCGAGCAGAGAACCTACAGATTGATTTCAACTTGCTTTCAACGCTCAGTAATCCAAACTGTCATGAACAAGCAGAACCTTGACCTTCATGACCAGAACTGTCATCAACCAACTCATGAAGTTTCTGTCCCAAAATCATTTTCTCTCAGCTTCATGTTCAAAAATAAAACTATTGAGGACAAGTCTGAGCCTTCAGCTCAAATAGCTCAGAAGAACACATCCATCACTGTTAACTTCTTGAATTTCTACTCAGCAGATTCAATCACTTCTGGTATACCTCAGGGATTACACTACGGGTCCCAGTTTTTCAGTGTAGTATGTTATTTATTTATTCATTATTATTATTAATTATTATTATTATTTATTTATCTATCCATTTATTGTGTGTGTGTGTGTGTGTGTGTGTGTGTGTGTGTGTGTGTGTGTGTGTGTGTGTGTGTGTGTGTTTGCTTATGTTATATTTGGGGTCGTGAACACGTTTACACACCAGTCATTTGGGGACACCTTGGCAACTGGGGACCAAAACCACGGTCCCCAATTAGAGAACCTTATAATCGCGTTCAGCACGCTCCAAAATGTATTTTAATCCAAAAATCTCAAACGTCCCAAAAAGTCACTAAAATAGGTTTTTTTGTGTATGTGTATGGTTTCGCCCCTCGCCTCCCCACAAAATCTGTGTATACCTCAATGTTGTCCCTAGTGGGAGTGTGTAGAACTGCATTAAACTTTATAGGTGGCTTATGTAATGCCTGGTGATAAAGAATCATGAAATAGAAACTTATACTATAAGTAGGACCACATAGTAGCCCATGTTTTGCCTGATGTAAAAAAATTAAACAAATGAACAGGCACATGGATTAAGCTAAAATGAAAACTGTTCTAAAAAACTGATAAGAAATATTGTCTTTTGAAAGTTATAATCTTGGTGTCAGCAAATTAGCAGCACTATATTCTCAAATACAATTTTAACATGTCAAAAGCGTTGTATACTAAATACTCTAGTGATCTACATTAACTTTTTGGACTTGTTTGCTTACAATTTATTATTTAAATATATTCCTATTTCTATATCTCCACCTATCATGGTCTGTATAGCAATGTGCATTTAAGAAATTATGCTATAAAAAGTAAATTAATTGAACTCCTTGAATTGATCAATATGCATTTGCTGTATGTCGTTAACATTAGAATATCCAATTACTAATTTATTCCAAATACAAATTTGACAGGTGATTTATAGTTGCTTTAATTTCTTTATGAGTACAATGAAAAATCAGCTATTGTCTATGTATTAAATATCTAAAAGAAAATATTTAAAACAATAACAAAACTATGAATAAATAATAAAAATGACAAAAAGATAACTTGACCTTGACCTTGATAAAATTTTATATAGCACTACAAAAAAGCCAATTAAATTAAATTACATTCAAACAAAAAAGATACTTGTGTCCAGTGGAATATTTTGTATGGTCTAAATTAAAGGGATGTCATGGAGTAGTTTCTTATCTTGCTCATTCATCTAGTCCCTTTTCTTACAAAATTGTGCCCTAATTACCCATCTAACCGCATTATTAGGTTTACCATTTGAGAACCTAGACTACAACACAGTAAAAGAAACTAAGAAGAAATACAAATAAAAAATATGACAGTAATGATGCACAGTACATTATCACTTATGTCCCACCACATTTTGATAAATTTAAGCTGTCACATTTATTTCATGAGAAAAATAGCAGAACAGAGTTGGACAATTGAATGAGTATATTGACCATTGGCATTTGGACTCCATCATATTATATATTTTTAAAGTTAATTATTTCCTTTATTTAACTAGTAAATAATTTATTCACAAGGGTTTTAATCTATAAATAATTGCACAAATCCAAATCCAACACTGATTGTGTACAGACCATCTGATATATTCATAGCATCAATGCCTCTGACTTCCGCTCCAGCCCACAGTCAGTCAGTTTAATAGCATCTGGGTGTTTCATGTTCATCAATATGACTGTTTATACAGTGGATTTCGTAATAACACAAGCATTCACACAAAAATATTCAGATGGCCCTTTAAGCCCTTAACAAGCACCTAGAACCTTCACATTCACTGGGATTCCATCATTACCACCAAACTATGTCACATTAAATGTTGATGTGTCTGGGTGTTCCATGTCCAAAGTTATTTCTTGTCATACTCTGGTTTTTTAACAACACAAGACCCAGGGTGCTACCTAATGACTTTTGACCCTAAGGACACCAAAAAAAATGAATAAAATGCTTGTGGCTATTCAAAATACACTCAAAAGCCAGTTGGATGTGCAATATTGTGAAAAATAAGCACAGGACACATCTCAAGGCACTCTTTGGCTCCATGAGGTTCCTGCTCCTATCCAACAAATGGAAATTTTTGTCACTCCGGACAGGAACTCACACTCTGCAGCTGCCACCCAGAATCCAAGGACTCTCTGCGTACAATGTTGAAAAGGACCAATTGTAACTCCAACATTTTCACATGCTTTTCCATCATATTTCACACTGGATTTGGGTTGGATGTGCTCCCAACATATCACAGTTCAAATTTTGTAGCTTTAGCTGTTTCCTGTCACCAGTAAAAAGTCCCATAGCACATTTGAAGGCTCCTTTGATCCCCCTTAGAATGTACCAATCTGTACCAAGCTCATAGGGTACGTGCGGCCTGACTCCAAGAATGCAATTCTAAAGTTTGATTTTTCTGCCTAGTTCACTTCAGTACAATTCATTTTATTCATATACAATAGTTCCTTGTATATTGTGGAGGTTCCATTCCCAGATCCCCACACACTCTCACACACACACAATAAGTGAAAAAATGCAAAGTAGAGATAGTAGAACAAGTAGTAGTCGTTGTAGTAAGTAGTAGTTTATTTTAGTATTTATATATCTATATTAAGGCTTTATAAACACTTCCCACATTATTGCAATATGCTATGTTCCAGTAACTGTTTGATCGGCTCCGGCAACTCAAATCTCTGCCCCTAAAAGTAATTTTTATTTTGATTATTAATTAAGAATACGAAAGAAGATATTATCCAGTCTGTGGAGTGGATGTTCCAGCCACAGCACACCGGGCTCGCTCACACGCTCCTGCCCAGGCTGGTGCTGGGTGAAGCTGACACTCCACCCATTTCACTCAGCTCCAGGCTGGGAGGAGAGTAGGAGAGGAGGCAGGGGGTGTGAGGACGGAGTGATAGGATGGTCACATTTATGCAC